CAAAGCTACTATGATAAAAACCACATGGCACTGGCACAAAACCAGACATCCAAGTCAATGGAATAGAATAGAGGATGCCAAAACAACCCTAGGCACATTCAGCTATCTGATCTTTGACAAAGAGGTCAAAAACATATGCTGGGGGAAAGATAGCCTCTTTAACAAATGGAGCTGGGAAACTGGCTGTCCATATGCAGAAGATTGAATCTAGATCCATATCTCCCACTATGCACCAAAATAAAATCAAAGAAACAATCTGCTAGAAGAGAAAATCAGTAAAACTCTTAAAGATACAGATAGAAGGAAAAACCTTCTGAACAGAACTCCAAATGCACAAAAAATAACACAAAGAATCAACAAATGGAATTATACCAAAATAAAAAGCTTCTGCACAACAAAGGAAGCAACCTAGTGAAGAGACAACCTATAGAATGGGAAAAAAATTTGCTAGTTAATCCTCTGATTGAGGACTAGTATCTAGAATATAAAAAGAACTCAAAAAAGTTAGATTCCTCCTAATAAAAGATCCAACAAAATGGGCAACTGAAATGAATAGACATTTCTCACAGAAAGAAGTAGAAATAGCAAATAAATACATGAAAAAATGTTCAACATCTCTGGCCATTAGAGAATACAAATTAAAACAACACTAACATGCCATCTTACTTGCTATCATCAAGAACTCAAAAACAAATGCTGGTAATGCTGTGGGGGGAAACGCACCCTTTTACATTATTAGTGGGAGTATAAACTAGTATAATCACTGTGGAAATCAGTATGGAGATTCCTTTAAAAACTAAAATTAGAAATTTCATTCCACCCAGCTAGTTCTCTTCTAGGTATCTCCCCCAAAGAGATAAACACATCATATTACAGATACCCACATTTATAGACATACAGCACATAATAGCTAAATATTGGCAGCAGCCTATATGTCCAAGAGATGATCAAACAAAATGCAGTATTTACACTCAGCTGTGATAAATTTGAGTCATTTGTAGGAAAATGGATGCACACTGAGACCATAATAGTGAAATAAATCCGATACACAAGCTTAAGTATTGCATAGTTACCCTTATATGAAAAATCCAAAGTATAAATAATTTAAAGAGCAAAATAAAAGGAAGACAATAGGAAACAGAGAGCTAGATCTTTTACAAATGTGAAGGGGGTCTAGAGATGGAGGGAGCAGCAAGAGAGGGCAGGGGAAGAGGAAGTAAAAAAAGGATTGATGCAATACGTACATGTACCAACTCCCCAGCATGAATGTATTATGTAAGGCAAATGGGAATTAGTTTTTCTTTCTTTCTTTCTTTTTTTTTTCTTTGGTACCGGGGATCGAACTTGGGTCCTTGTGCTTTCGAGGCAGGCAGCGGAACCACTGAGCTAAATCCCCAGCCGAGGAATTAGTTTTTAAAAAGGAGTCTGGTGAAGGGCTGCCATGAATGTTCTGGCCGGAGGAGGAAGATGGATCGGCACAGAGTAGGTAAGCAGGCCCAAGGCTGGGTGGGAACGATGCTGAGAAGACAGCTGCAGGCTAGACGTTTCAGGAGCAGGCTTCTCAGGTGGCAGTAAAGTCAAATCCCTTTTGGACACCTTTTTTGTCTTTTTTTTTGTGATAACAGATGAATTTTAATTCTAGCACCTGAGGCTCTACAAGGTCAGCGTTATAAAACTCATGGAACTGTTGTACACATTCAATAAAGTGACAACTATCCAATACCACTCAGTATCTCATCATCAGAAATATTCTTTTGAATTGTTTAAACACAATCCTCAAAATTAAAAGCAAAATCAGAAACTACCCACAATTATACTAAATTGTCAATCTAAAGTTTTACACCTAATACTTGACACAGTCAATACCTAGTGGGGGTCCTGACAGCAATGCAGTTTCATTCTTTAATGTTGGGTAATGAGACCTTTTATCACAATGAATCAAACAATCCACACATAATGCCTTACTGAGCACTCAAAACACACAAGGCAACCGAGCATCATAACAAATGGGACAAGTCCTGCTGAGCACAGCCCGAGATTGAAGTATTTATGCCATCAAAACAATGTCTCGTTGGTTTATTGTTTTGTTTGTGGTGGTACCGGGAATTGAACTCAGAGCCTCACATATGCTAGGCAAGCACTCTCACACTGAGCTACATCCCCAGCCCTTTTAAATATTTGTTTTGAGACAAAGGTTTTGCTGAATTGCCCAGGCTTGGCTCAAACTTCCAACTGTCCTGTCTCAGCCTCCTCAGCAGCTGGCATTACAGGTGGGCCCAGGCTGGACTCAGACACACGTGTAACAAGGCAAGCAGCTGTCAAGCAGACAGTAGCCAGCCACTCTGGGAATTCAGGGAGAAAGGGCACTGTGCTTTGGCTGGGAAATTCACAGAAGACTCCAAGTCTGCTGAACTGGTTTTGCAGAGATGAGTTCATAGAAAAATGGTGGATGCAAAGCACAATTTGGAGAGCATGCTGGGGGGCTAAGGTGGAAGATGTTGGCAAGGAGGCTGGAGGGCACAGGGAAGCACAGGGTTCATGAGCCAGGAGCTGCACTTTGTAGAGCAGCAAGACCATGGGCTGGTCCTGGACCCACCCAACACAAGATGGCTTAACTGAGCTGCAGTCTGCCAAGTGGTTATCCCATCTCCACACCACATCAGAAGAGCACCAACTTGAACTACTTAATACTTGCTAACACTAAAAACATGAAGTACCCTCAGTGAGAAAAGACAGGCTGCTGAGCCATAAGCACAGTATTTAAGAGTTGCCTTGGAGCATGTACGGGCCTGAAGGGTAACAACACGCATTTGCAATGGTACAGTCCATCAAATTCTTCGGGTGGAAGCAGGCAATGTGCCTCTTAACTGAGTTTAGAAGAGATTTACGAGAGGGATGTGAGAGGTCCGACAGAATTAAGGGAGGGCCAAAGAGCCAGGCAGAAAGCACAGGAAATCAGGAACCTCCAATGGGCTTCATGGCACAAATCACAGCAGTCACCCAGGTGTGGAAACACAGCTAAGTGCTTGTTCCAGGGTTCATTAGGGCACAATGAGTGGGGGGGGCGGGGGGTGCAGCTGTCAGGCTGATTCAGCAAGTTCGTGACAAGCCAGTCTTATCTCTGAACACAATGTAGGTGCTTGTATACATGTGTAAGGGTTCATCTTGTCATCAGTCCAATTTTCTTAGGTGTAAGCAAAGAATCGGCCTCTTGTTTGAAGAAATTTATGTCCAGGAAAAATGGACAAAGTATGAAAATATAAAACAAAAATGACTAAAACATATCTCCTTGGATCAAAATTCAAAATGAGCCTGGGATGTAGCTCAGTGGCAAGGGCAAGGTCTTGAGTTCGATCCTTGGTACCACACCAAAAAAAAAAAATCAAAATGAAGCAACTCAGTGACACTGGAGGAAAGTACCATATCTGTCATTAATGAGATCATGTACAGAGAGGTTCAGACTGAGTTTGGCGTTCTCGAGGGAGACAATCACAAAATCACCAGAGGTTGAAAGAAGAAAAAGACAAAAGCACAATAATGAAATGCTAAAACACACAAGCAAGAAATGCTAAGAGAGCCAATAAAAATGATTACAAAAGGAATTCATTACAGAACCTGAAAAAGATCTCAAAATAATTTAGGTTTAGTATTCCAAGAGACAAAAGTTACATTTCCATTAATAAGAGAAAAGCAATTATTTTTTAAAAAAGAATGAAATGAAATCAGATGGAGGTGAAGAGATAATTAGAAAATTTGCAAACAAATGGTTTAATCAATTATTTATTTAGGGCTGGAGATTTAGCTCAGCGGTTCCGCCACCTGTCCTGGAAGTGTAAGGACCCGTTTGATCCCTGGTACCAAAAAAGAAAAAAAATAAATTTTATTTAGGTTTTTCTGAGGTAGGGTCTTGTTTATGTAGTTCAGGTTGACCTTGAACTATGTAGCCCTGCTAGGTCTTCAACTCGCTATCCTCCTGCCTCAGTCCCCAGAGTGCTAAGATTACAGGCACACGCTTCCACGGCCAGTCCTACTTTCATTTTTAAACACTTGCCTTTCTTGTCACTTCCCTTCTTTAAAACCAGTAAAAAAAGTACTATCTCCTAAAGGCCACCAACCCACTAGCTGGCATTCTTAGTATCTTCTCCACAGCCAATGTGTGGCTCTCCAGAACAGAGCATGACCACTCACCGGACCGTTTCCAGACTGTCACTCAAGGCTGGTTTCATAGCTGTCCTGACTGCTACCCAACTGAAAGCCTGGGAGCTCATGAACTGTTCCAGCTCATAACCTCTCCTCTCCTCCACCACATACTGCATGGCACAGTCCTAACCTTGTGCTTTCTGGCATGTGCTCAACTCCACTTTTCAACCTCCACAAGCCCACTAAGTGGGTGCACTGTATTTGAATGAACGTTCAATCATGAGTGCCAAAATAATACAATATCTCTATTATGAATACCTTACTATCCCCAAAGTACATGATCCAAACCTAGAACATGAAAGAGTAAATCAATTGTATCCACATCTAAATCAGCAGGACTCAATTATAAACCCAGAATGGCAAATCTTCACTACTGTGAGAAAATCATCACAGCTGTGAACAGAGAGCAGAGGCAGACAGGGCAATGGTTGTCCCTGAGGACTGATAAGATGGCTTGCACCACAGGTCCAAAAAGTGCTACCCAAGGTGGTACCTTGATCATCACCAGTCCACGAGCTGCAGTACTCATGGATACTGCACTGCCCCAGCAAGGGGCAATCAACCCAGGAGGAAAGGTGGACCTTACCTTCCACCTGCTCAGTGAGGTAACAGCCATTATTCCTGTAATTTTCCGTATTCAGCATGGAGCAGAAATCTGGTTCAGGGGAGTTATCAAATGTGGCTCCAAGCAGAAAACTCCAGGTGTGAACACAAAAGGAACACACACGTGTACACACACACTTTACACAGCACAGACAAGCACGCTGCCGAAAACACTGTGAAACAATGTGTTAGGAAACTAGGATTGTTGCCACCACTTTATTTATCTAGTCCACAGGTAAGGACAAAACACTAGAGCGGTGTCAGAATGCAAAGCAGCGCCTGCCCTTATGGGGCTCACAATCTTATTAGAGAAATAACCAGTTACAGAGGAGGGACCGTAAGATAGCTCATGCCAACACGTACCACAGGACTGCAAAGGCAGTGTTTATGAACATGGGGTGGACTGGGAGTCATGTCCCAACCTGGCAAGTGGGACAACCACTCTGGGTTTATTACCCCAGCTAGAGAGAAGCGGTGTCATTTACAGGCTATCTGCAATGGTTTCCATCACAATTCAGATCAAAGGCAGAAGCAAGTTTTACAGAGGAGGTGGCACCAAGTAGGACACAGACAGAAGGCAGGGAAGGCATTTCAGACAAGAAAAGCAGCACTGAAGCAGAAGCATGGGTGTTGGAGGGGAAGAGAGACAGGTGTCACATGAACAATGGCATGAGGTAAGCAGGTGGCAGGAAGCCAGCTCTGGTGCCCTTCAGACACAACCCACATAGGAGCAAGTTGCAGGGCTCATGTTCACATCCACCAGGTACAGTACATGATTCCAGAGTGAAAATACCAGAGTATAATGGCGGCATTTTATCAAATGTTTCCAGAAAGTATAATAATTTAACATTGTGGCTATACAGTTCAAAATAGACACCAACAAGGCATCCTGATCCTCAAAATGTAAACCAAGTCCAAGTTTACATTCAGAGTAAATATAACAGGGTCTCTTGATTCTGAAGGGACATTTGCTACAAACTGATATCCCAGTGATTCAAGCGTTTCTTTTCTACTCTGCTCCACACACTGGAATGAGTTAAAGTGAGTAAGCCGAGGTCTCTGGTGTGGAAGAGCAGCAGCCTGGTAAGCAACGGACACCCCATGTGGCCACCTGGGTGGTACTTGGAAGCACGGCATGCCCAGCACATGCCAGGCTGTCAGGGGTAGAAAGACAGAGCCTCCCATCTGAAGGAGCTTTGGCAAGAGCTGGAGATGGGTGCCTCCCAGGGACAGTGAGTGGGGAGGCCAAGCTTCCAGGAGGCAGGCACAGAAGGCAGCATGGGTGTCAAGGGACCAGTTAGTGACACACACACCTCAACGTACCCTCACTTAAATGGCTTGAATCCTCACTACACTGGTTTGAAGTGAGGAAGGGATAGGAAAGAAAGCAAGCACCCAGGTTCTGTCAGCAGCCAAAGCAGTTCCTGGAGGCCCTGCTCAGCAGACTTCGGAAGCCCACACCCACTGCCTCCCCTGCTCACCCTGTCTGCTCCTCTTTCCTTTAGGGTCTGCTTCCTCTCTGCCTGCGAGTTCTCATAATGGAGCTGGGAGTGGAAGCAGGGATAGGGCAGAAACAGAACTGGAAATGCAGACACAGTTGATCAAGTTACCACAGGGAACATGCTGTGTTATACAAAGGTCTACAGATAAATAAAAGTCTTTTTCAGTTTTCTTTTAGTCCCCAATTTCCATCAAAATGTTAAAAAATTTCATTCGATGTGGGAAAAGTATAGAAAGCTTATAGAAGACTCCATTTCTCCAACTATTTTCCACTAAACATGTGTTACAAACACCATAGGATTTCAGACCCTATCTTCACACAATTAAGATCTGACCCAAATTGCATTGCTTAGCTTAAAAATGAAAGACACAACATGTAATTTCAAGTCTTAGGTTCTCAGCTACTACCAAAATGTGAAAATACATGAATAAATTGCCTCAGGAAGAATACAAAGTAAAAGGTGGATGCAAATAAGATATTCCTTTAGGGTCAACACTAAATTTCAACTGCTCATAGTAACATTATAAAACCATTCTACAAAAGTAACATCTTCTTGAAATTCTATTTTATCATGAAGAAAATATATCTGTCAATTTATTTAACATTCATTCTTAAGTTACAGTTATGTCAATACACTCCACTTCTAAATAAAGAAACCTTAGCATAATCCTAAAACCATGCATACACATTTAGTAAGATCTTCTACATTCCTAAATAAATTACATGCATGATATATATTAACCAATAAAGAATACCAATATGAGAATTCAGAACATTTATTTTTTTGCATGGAGATTTAACTACTATACAACACACACACAAACACACACACACACAAAACAAACCCACAAAGCAACGATGTGTAATAGGTAGTGAGAGACACTAAGTAAGCATATTTCAAATGCCTACAAACAGGCTTTTTTTTAGGCAATAAAATAGTCCTTGCCATCTTCTCACGCTCACCTAGCACCAGACGCAAGGACTAAACAGTAAAGTGTACAATCTCATGCTTAAAACCTAAAGCATGCATCAAATTGGATTTATATACTGTGATCGACTCTTAATATGCAATACATACTTCTTGCTAATAGTTCATATGTTAAATTACCCTGCAGTATTCTGAAATTTTAACATTTATGCAAAAGAACTTTTCAAAGATTTATGAAACAAATTTCAAGGTGCACCTCCAGGCTGGTTTGATTAAGTGGAAAAATGGCAGCAGCCTCAAAGGCTCATACTGAATGAAAATAGTTTCTGTGCATGTCACTCGATGTAAAAAAACCCAAAAAACAAAAAACAACTATATACACAGATGGCACAAAGGTTTGTGCAGTTGGAATCACCAGTGCAAATGCATGCATTTGAGGTACTTATTTTTTCCATGGTCAGGTATAATTATGCAGTCATTTTCCTCAAGGGCTAAATATGTGAGACCTGATCAAATAAAAAGCTAAGAAGTTTAAATATGATATTTATATAGTTAATTTCAAAGATTTGTTTTTAATATAAATTTAACATTACATTAGGCTTATTTAGTTAAAAAATATTTACCAACCAATAAGTTTTCTCACTGTAGAGACTGACTGGTAATTATACCTGGCCAAGTGATTTAAATAGCGTACTTGAAATCCTTGCAAGAACTGTAGTGAAAGAGTAAAATACTTCATTATTGCTTCACTGGACTGAGAAACCCAAAAGGCAGAGATAAACAATGCTCAATAATGGAAAGTGAACACCCAGAAGAGCCACCGCTGAATGGTCTGCACAGTAGAAGCTAAGTGCTCTCCACATTATCAATGCCATTGGCATCCACATGGTTGTCAGGGTCCCCGCACAGGGATGAGGAGACAAAGTGGCTAACAGTGGGACATAAGCAGCTCTTAAGCTCTGGCAATTCTTGCTTCAGGCGTTCCAACTGCTCCACTTGGAATATATTTGGCTGTTCAGGCATCCAATCATATATCCTATGATCAAACAAATATAAAATATGTAAAATTGTATAATTTTGTGGCTTACTTTAGATCTGCCTGACTTTTTTCATGAGAATTCCTTTGCAAAATGTCTGAATCATATAGCTTTTGTCTTAAAGATGGATGCCTATAAAATGTTAATGGAAAATGATTTCTAATACAGAATCCGTGTCCAGCCTTAACATTTGCAGATACGTAAGAGCTTTACTTCCCATGTCCTCCTTGCTCAGGAAATGCTAAAGTATGTATTCAGTATCAGTGATAGTGAAACAAAATCGAAAAAGATACGGGCAACAGGAAGCAGGAGATGGCAAACAGGAATGCCAGCAAGCCGGGCCTGAGCCACAGAAGCAGAGCCATCTGGACCAGAGCTGTCCAGGTGAAAAGGAGGGGAGGCAGGGCTGTCCTCTTAAGAGGGTGCTGATGCTGTAGCCCTGTGACCCTCGCACAATGTGTCCTGGTGACCCTGAACCAGAGTCTTCCTTACACATGGTGTCTGAACTCCTGCACGGCCAGACAGGACTACTCCTGAGAACTCAGGTGGGCTGCGCTAAACCAGGAAACACAGAACAGACCATGCCAGATGGCCACAGATGGTCCTGTTATGCATCTAATGCCAGAATCATTTGCTGGAGCCTCTATGTGCTGAGCTCTCTATAGAGACCTAGTGGGTCACAAAATTAGTTTAGAAAGTTAAGATTCACATTTAAACAAGTAAATACACAAGAATAGGAAATATTCAAGGAGTATTATGTTTAAAATTCTGTCTAGGTACATGTGGGCCGGGGATTTAGCTCAGTGGTTCCACCGCCTGCTTCACAAGTGCAAGATCCCAAGTTTGATCCCCAGTACCAAAAAAAAAAAAAAAAATTCTGTATAGGTACATACTTGTATATGTACATATCTATGTGTATACTATGTTGCAATGTGAAATGGGATTGCCCTGAGAAACTTTACTTATATATTCCAGGAGACCTGATCAATAATAATGTTACTGCAACACTGGGCATAATAGCAAAACAGGGCCACAACCTAAGTGTTCTTAAAAGCAGAATAAACAATGGACTCTCATATAGCCATGGAAATTACTACTATATAACTAATATAGAAAAATGTGGATTAATTTTAACATGACAAAAGTATAAAGTTAAAACTAAGCAAAACTAAATGACATTGTTTAGGGACAGAAATAAGATTAAAAATGTTTAAGACTGAGAGAGGTTATGGTTATGTCTCTCAGAATGGTTATGTCTGAGAGAGACGAGGTAACAGAATTTTGTAGAGACCCACATGGACTTCAAAACTATTGATAATGTTTAAACACAGACATATGATGAACTGCTACTGTATTTTTAAAACATCATTTGGCAGATACAAGTAATTTTTACTTAAAAAGAAGAAAGAATCAATTTACTGAGTCCAACCAAAACTAAACAACCATCTAAGAGACATAAAGGTTATCTTACTCATGATTATAAATGCAAAACTTTCCAAAAAATCAGAAAATCAAATGCAGTTTACATGAGACAATCTACTGCAAAATATGATTAAATGTGAAAGCTACTGTGGTTCTGGTGGCTTTGTAGAGAAAAATAGTTTTTGATAACCTGAAACACCTACTTGCACCACCTCTGCTAAAGAAATGCCTCAAAGGCTCCAAATCACTTAATCATCCAAAACTTTCTACATAATGTCTAAATTTGGTAATAAAAATAGTATTATGATTTTGAAATCTAGAAGTAAATTATCAGAAGAAAATAGCTAAAAAAACTGTAAGGCAGAACTCCAAGAACAATGGAAGAAATAGGTACAAGGCATTGTTTTTTTAATAAACCTTAGAGAACTATTTAAAATTTTAAATTATATACATGGAGTTTCTTTATTACATTTAAAAAGAAAAATAAACTCCACAAAGCCTCTACTGGTAAAATCCACCTTACTTCTTGCCAGCCCCCAGGGTAGCCCAGTGCTAGGCTCTCATGAAGCCTCCACTCCTTCAACATCCTGCCCAATTCATGCTCTTGCCTCCACCTAAAATGCAACTCTCAAAATTCCAAATTCCGGGGATTTAGTTCAGTGGCACTGTGCCTGCCTCCCAAGCGCAAGATCCCGAGTTCAATCCCCAGTAACCCCCTCCTCCCCCACCAAATTCCAACTCGGTCTTTCCTCTTTAAATATAGGAAGATGGAAAGAACTTTCTTTAGCTTCTGTTATATCACACAGTATCTTCCTGTTCCCATTTCACATCAACATTTGGCTCTAACCAATGAAGGTCCTTGAGATGAAGGATCTGCCTAAAATTTGTAGGCCCTTAAAACTGTACATGGTATCATCTCCAAGGATACAGCTCCAGCTAAAAACAGCTGCATCACTCTTTCTTTCATATATACATACATATACATATCAAATCTTCAAAGACTTGCTAAAGCTAGCATTTCCTTTTGTTAATTTGAAAGTTTAATTTTCATTTAATTAGTTGAAAATGTTAAAAAGGGCCACAGATCATGCTGTTTCATGCAAAAGTAAAACACAGGCAAGCAGTATCTGAGTAATGATTTAAAAATCAGATCGTTTCAGACAAAGTTGTGGAGAAAAACAAACCAAAAAGCCCTTATGAAAAGTGATATAAAACTTTTTTTAAAGTGGGAGGGCTGGGGATTTAGCTCAGTGGTTCTGCTGCCTGCCTCACAAACACAAGGTCCTGAGTTTGATCCCCAGTACCAAAAAAAAAAAAAAAAGTTCACGACATAAAAGTGGTAAAATTTTTTAGGACAGAGTAATATGGACTAAATGGAAGGAAAGTATTTTCACAAGCAAGTCTGGTGAGGATTTTATCACTCTTCCTTTGCAAGCCTGCAATTCTATCAGCAAGTAAATAAGTGACATTCTAACCAAAAATTTCTTCACACATAAGCAAACTTTCTGTCCCTCAGATTAGTGGCTGTCAGACTTACATAATAAAAAAAAACCAAAAGAGCTCTCTACAAATAAGAATTCCTACTATGCATCACATATTGATTGTCCTGGCCCCTGGAAGGAGTGAACAAAATTGGAAGAGGCCTCACCCTTATAGAGCTGATCATGTGCACCTACCCACATAGGGAATGGGGGAAAAGCAGACAAGAGATACTGGGTATGTACATGTGTGTATCAGGTGGTGATAAATAACAAAGAAAAAAGGCAAGAAGTACACTGGGAACAGAGGTTTATTCTCTCATTAGGTAACAGGTCAGTCTTCACAGAAGTCTTTCTCTGAAGATAGAGAGAAGTTGTAGGAGACAAGGGCAGACAGGAAAGGAGGTTTGGCGGGGTTGTGAAGGAACCAGCTTGTATAAGGGCACTGTCATGATTTAGCTTTTCCTTTAGGTGACAGGAGACTGGGTGTTTGGGTAAGAACACAATCTATTAGAGATTAAAAAGACGCCCTCTGACTACAGTGTGAGAACAGACAACGTGCGGGCAAGGGCAGAGGGAGTGGTCAGGCTGCAGCTACTGCAGTATATTAGGAGTCGGAGTCAACAAGATTTTCCTTCTGACTGAGTCTGGGCATGAGATGACAGCCATGGGAGACTGAGGATTTGGCCTGAGAAACTGGAACAAATGGAGCTTGATGTCAGAACTGTCTGAGTGGAGATAAGCAATGTTGGGAAGACTGAAAGTATATGGAAAGCCACAGACCTAGATGAGCCCACTGAGAAAGCTGGTAGACAGGAAACCAGTCCAGGGAAGACGGCCACTCACTCTCACCCCCAAAAGACTCAGTGCATCTATGTCACAGCCCAGGCACCTCAATGTAAAGTTCCTCGAGTGATTCTGATATACTTCAAAGTTTGAAAAAACTTACTGACAAACATCAACATAAACCTCAGGCTGAACTACAGAATTTTAACTAAATTTAATTTTATTTATATTTTAAAAGATGTAAGCTATACTTTTTCTAACATTCCAGGGAGATTTTTTATGCAAAATAAGTACCTATCATAAATTAGGCCATTAACTCCAAATTCTTTCAACTTCCTTCTGTTTTCAGGATCATTGGTGTCATCGCCCCAACAGAATATGACAAGGCCCTTAGCTTTTGCCTCCTGAATATAGGATGGGTTTCTGAGCAGGTCTTCAGTATGTGCATTTATCCCCTGAAAGAAGAAAAATTGGTTGTTCACAAATAAATAATGTAGTTACTGTAAATGGTAAACATTCATACTCTATTGAAAAAAGGGCTCTCTAGAGTAGACCAGACAGGGAGAGAAAAGAATTTTTTCTTAGAATTACCCTATTGTTCACAATGGATATTTTATATATACAATGTATTACTGATATATGTGTATCATTTATTTATTTATTTTGGGTTTTTTTGAGACACGGTTTTACTATGTAGTCCAGTCTGGCCTAGAACTCATGATGATCCTCCCACCTCAGCCTTCCAAGTGCTGGGACTACAGGTGTATGCCACCAGGCCCAGCTATAATTTATAAACACACATGTTGAATGTGTGGATACATTCACATCTAAGTATAGCTATTTGCTTGTTACATATTAGACCTTTTACCATTGTGTAAAGTAATAAACCATACTTACTATTGCCCTAAAACACACAAACATAGGAAATTAAAAGATAAAAACTCAAACATAACTTACCAGAAGATTTTCAAACTGTGCAAAGCTCATTGCAATGGGAGTTGTCCGACATCTGAGGTCCATAAGTTCAGGGTAAATATCAGATTTTCCTTGAGTCAAAAACAATACGGGATATTTGTTCTGCTTTTGTCGAACCCTAAAAAGGACAATTAAAAAAATATTTTTTCATGGGGGATAATTGTAATATTGTTCTGAGATTTTAGAAAAAAAATTTTTTTCTTGGTACCAGGGATCGAACTCGGGTCTTTGCGCTTGCACAGCAAGTGGTGAAACCACTGAGCTAAATTCCCGGCCGGAGATTTTAGAAAATTTTAAAAATACAAAGAAAACAAAGCAAAATTTGAAATATTTCATTACTCAAGTATAACCACCAAAAATATGTATTGTTTTTCAAGTTTTTCTATATGAGAGCTAAAACACTCAGAAGTGGATGACGGAAAAGCCTTTGAGGGGTACAATCTGGTAAGAGGACACGTAAGCCAGGGAAACACACACAGGGTGAGGCTTTGCAGAGGTCAAGGTACCCCAGGAGCCCTCAGGCAGGGACAGGAAAACATGTGTAACATGAGGAGAGGACAAGGAGTGTGAAATCTGGACATCCAACAGCCACCTCTTGTACCCTGAGCTACACTCTACGTGTACAGAAGAAAAACTGAGTATTACTCACATTGTACAAATATCTGCATCAAATGAAGAAAACACAATTCTTCTCTTTCCAGAGTTTTCTAAAACATTTTTTAGAATTATATCCAAAAACAGATTCATGTCAAAATATGTTGACAAGTTACCATCCCATATTCCATCCTATGTGGAAGAAAAAGGAAAATGAAGGCCATTACATACAGTAGAATCGCAGTGCTGAAAACAAAATCAGATTCTTGAGAGTATCTAGTCTAACTCATATTTAAAAAAAATTTTTAAATATATTTCATTGGGCCGGGGATTTAGCTTAGTGGTGCCTCCACCTGACTCCCAAGTGCAAGGACCCGAGTTTGATCCCAGGTACCAAACAAAACAAAACAAAACAAAACAAAACAAAAAATATATATATATTTCATTGATGGCTGGGGATTTCGCTCAGTGGCGCCGCACCTGCCTTGCAAGTGGAAGGTCCTAAAATCAATCCCCAGTACTGGGGGAATTAAAAAAAAAAGGGCGTGTACACACACACACGTACACACACACACACACACACATACACACACACACACACTGGGGGAATTAAAAAAAAAGGGTGTACACACACACATATTTCATTATGTTTACTTCAGGTATGCAACAGAATGTTGTGTGTTATGTAACAGTGAAAAACCTAAAGCAAATTAATATTTGTCATCTCACATAGTTGTCCTGTACTTCTTTTTTTTTTGGTGGCAAGAGCAGCTAAAATTTATGCATTCTGCATGCATCCCATATACAGTACAGTTTATTACTTACGGTCCTCCTGCATATGACATCTCTAGATTTGTTCCTCCTACATATCTGCTGTTTTGCACCCTTTAATCCATATTTCCCCATTTCCTCCTCCCCTCCCTGACCTACTAACCAGTGTTGTCTCACTATTTCTGTATATTTTAATTTAAAATTTTTATAGATCCCACATACAAATGAACCCATGCAAAATTTTTCTCTCTGTAGCTGGCTTTTCACTTAGCATATAACCTCCTCCAGGCTCGTGTAAGTATGGCAAATGGTACTGAGTACATTTCCACCACACACAGGTACCATACTTTCTTGGTCCACCAATGGACACTCAGGTCATTTATACATGCTGGCTATTATAACACAGCTGGAGTGAAGATGGGAGTACAGATCTCTTTTACAAGGTAGAGATTTCATTTTCTTTGGGCATATGCACAGAAGAGGGACTGATGAGTCATACACCAGCTCTGTTTTAACTTGTTTAGAAACCTCCACGTTTCTCATAATGGCTGTGCCAATCTGCACGTGTACCAACAGTATGCAAAAGTTTCCTTTTAATCAAATCGTTGCCAACATGGTTAGCACTGACTTTTTGATTATGGCTCTTCTAACGGGCGTAGAATAGTATCTCATAGTGGTTTTGACCAGCCCCTACCTAATTCACAGATGAGAAAGCCAAAGGCCTGAAAAGACTGACTTGCCTAAAACCTCCTGATTACTGATGGCACAGCAACCAAAATTCAGGTACATTTATATAAAAAGTAACTACTGGGGCACCACATTTCTTTGAGTACCTGCACTCTGCCCTTAAGTGCATCCTTACTCTCTGACTAATAAACTTTCTCAGGTCTCTTTAAAAAAACAAAAAAGTTGCCTCACAAGTGCAAGGTCCTGAGATCGATCCCTGGTACAAAAAAAAAAGTAATTTCTGGGAATGATGGTGCTCCCCTGTAATCCTAGCACTTGGGAGGCTGAGGCAGGAGAATCACAGGGAGTCTGAGGCTGGTCTGAACTACCTGCACTACATAGTAAAAACCTATCTCAAAAAAAAATTTTTTTAAAAAGAATTAACTATATTATTAACAGTGCCTTTGCTTAAACATTAACAACAACAACAACAAAAAAGATGTTATGGTCTGAGGCAGAGGGATCACCAAGAGTTCAAGGCCAGCCTGGGTGATATAGTAAGTTCAAGGTCAACCTGAAATACATAGCAAGTCTGTCTCCAAAAAAAAAAAAAAAGATGTGGCAATTTGCAGTCTATTATGACTTTACAATCTTCATAAACTGTAAGGCATTTCATGTTAAATGAAATCCTACTATGAATTACCAGTTATTAAAAAAACCCTAAAGTGACTATGAATTATGAAAATTACTCTTAATTAAGATATACTTCAAAATCTCATTCTTTGGGTTTTAGGTACGTCAAGTACCCTCAAAAATTAGTTAAAATAATTCAGCAAATACAGGCAAGATACAAAGAACCCTACTGACATTAAAATTTAAATATTTAATAATCCAGTCTTAAAAATAAGCTCAGAAAAGTAAAATCAGGTTTTAGGAAAATCCTGGTTGACAGGATCAGATTAGCTGGTCACAAACAGCCTAATTTGAAGGCAGTTAGATTATCTGGTCAAAACAAATTCCAGGATATTACTCCAACTGCCCAATTATGATACTTGAATTAACCACTTAACACCCCACCCCAGTCCACTCCTCTGATCATGCATTTTATCCATTTACACACATTGTCCACTCTAATGTAGTTCAAAGTTAATTCCAGGAAAACAGTCTTGTCTACTTGTTCACTACTTGTCCCCAGCACTCAGAAAATGCCTGGCCCATCGCAATTTTTCAATACATACTTGTTAAAGGAATAAGTAAATCTAGGAATGACTTAAAACGTATCTGCAGAAACTTCCTTTCCTGGGGAACTACTGCTATCTGTAAACCCAACAGACAACTACTAAGGAAATGACCTAAAACATATGTTTGTATAGAGAATTAGAAGATTAAAAACTAAATCAGAGTTCTGTCTATAAGTATGCCTAGAAACCATTCATATTAATGAGCACACAAGACACATGTAGACTGAAATTTCTACAACTGATGTATCACTTTAAAAAGTACTCACATATAAGATAGTCTTTATTTAGAAGGTCCAAGAAGCACTGTGCTTTGACAGAGGAAACTATAAGATTTTAGTTTCACTTAATTCCATTAAAACAGGACTGAAAGAACTTTTTTTAAAGGGGGTTGGGAGAAAAAAATGTACTTACCCTTTGTTGGCAGATCCACTTTATTTCTATATTAAACCCTACATCTTCTGGCAAAGACTCTAAAACCTAGAATTTTGTTTGTTTGTAGTGAGTTTTGTTGTTTTTGGTAAGATGAATGGTAGAATAAGAAAAGAAAAAAAAAACAACTATTACAAAAAAGCAACCAATAAGAATATATCATTAAATAAGGTAAAATGTTTTGTGTTTTCAGTAAAAACCACTATCTTCTCATTTAAACTGCCAACCTGGTTGATAACCTGGTTGATTTTATTACAATTAAACATGAGGTTTGATTGAAAAGTATGGTGAATGTTCTGTTGTGTCTTTGGTTGCACTGTTGTGGCTACCTCATGTCCTGAATCAACTGAAAACATTTACCTTTCATGGACATTTTGACTTTGGGGAAGAGCCAGAAGTCACATGGTGACAGATCTAGTAAATAAGGTAGCTGAGGACACACTGGTATGCTTTTATTTAACAGAAAATGCCATAAATGTTTTGAATCCATCCAGGACATGGAGGAAGCCACAAAGACACTCATGAAAGAAGACTCTCAGAACTGCTTTAGAAGGGGGCAAGAATGACGGGACAAGTGTGCTCAAAGTGACAGGCAGTATTTTAAGGGGGGTTAACAGCAGTATATCTTTTACTGTATAATAAAGCTTTTTTTATTATCTAAACATTCACCATAATTTTTCACACCTCAAAAGAAAGTCAAGTGGGGCTTTTTGGTGCATGCCTGTAATCTTAGCACTCTGGGAAGCTGAGGCAGAAGAATCACAAGTTTAGGTACAGCCTGGGCAACTTAGTGAGACCTTGTCTCAAAATAAAAATGGAGCTGGGGGAAAAAGAAAATGGAGCTGGGAGCCAGTCATGGTGGCACAGCCTGAAATCCCAGCATTCAGAAGGCTGAGACAAGAGGATTGCTCCAAGTTCAAAGCCATCCTGGCAGCATAGTGAGTCCAAGGCCAGGCTAAACTACACAGTAAGACTCTGTCTTAAAAATAAATAAATAAATAAAACCCAACAACAAAAAAACAGCACAAGTACAACACACAAAAATTCATCTTCTCAGGCAAGTATGGTGGCACACACCTGTAATCCCAGCTACTCAAGGAGAATTAGACAGGAAGAGTCACACAGGAGGCCAACCTGGATAACTTAGCCAGACCCTATCTCTAAGTAAAAAGGGCTGGAGATGTAGCTCAGCGATAGAGCATTTGCCTAGTATATGGGACGCAAAGGGTACAATCCCCAGCACAAAAAAAAAAAAAAAAAAAAAAAAGGTCTTTGCCTAAGTGCACCCATTACATTATAAATTACATTAATAGGGCTGGGGATTTAGCTCAGTGGTTCTGCCACCTACCTTGCAAGTGCAAAGTCCCGAGTTCGATCCCCGGTACCAAAAAAACCCAAACAAATGTATTACATTAATATATCTTTGACAGTGTTGTTTTAGTTAACAAAATCACTTACTGGGCAGTAACAAAATTAATGAAATACCCTCGCCTTAGTTTTACTGAAGCAACTTACCATCTTAAGAGAAGGAAATGGCTGGTTTTCAGAAAAGGAATTTTCTCCCTCAACTACAGATTCTGAAATTTTAAATAACAAAACCTCAGTATATGAACCGTCACTGTATCACTGACATCTTTTCCTAAACCCTAAAAAACAGACCGCACACTGATATAATTATAACGTCCTTTTATGAAATGCAGAATTTGTGAAAGCTCTTGCATTTATTCATATTAACCATTAAAAACTCCATGTGTTAAGTAAGCACCCCTCGTGAAGATTACTCTGCCACACTTTATTTTTTTTATTATTTATTCATTTATTTATTTATTTTTGGTACTGGGGATCGAACTTGGGTCCTTGCGCTTGTGCAGCAGGCAGTGAAACCACTGAGCTAAATCCCTGGCCCCTATGCCACATTTTAATACAAATGCCAGTCTGTGGCCCCAAAAGTAATTATTTTCTTACAGAAATTGAATTACTATACTCTTACAAGTACTCACGAGAAGCAATTTGTTATTTCCTGATGGAACTGAATTGTATCATTTTGCTAAGACTTCTATTTAAAATATAAAAATCAGCTCAGAAATTGACCAAGAGAACCTATAATTACTATTGTGGCTTTTGTCATTATTCTAAAACAGAGATCATCTTTTCTTTTTCTTTAAAAAACAGAGATCATCTTATGACACAGTATTTTCCAAAAGTGAAAACAAAATAACAAGTTTTTCTAAAAAACAAATATCCACATCAAGCCCTACCAACATGCGTGTATTACATATTCATAGACTAAAATTATGAAATTCTTTAGTTATATAAATTAAAGTTAAAGCTCATCTTACTGCTAATAGTCATGAAACATCTATAAATTTGTACAATCATATTTAGGATCTGCCGGTAATCTTTGAAGTCTTAAGCATCTCACAATTTCTTCATAAAGGTATTCACATTATATGTTATCACAACTGCAGACAAACTACAAAAACCTACCACATGTATAGTACTGTAAAAGTACATCCTTGGGAATATAAAACTATTTTCCTAGTCTTGATAGCCTTACACTCTAGTTGAAGGGAACAGGCATAAACAAAGGGTTTTAAAAAGGATACAACCTCAAATGAATGGTATGGGCTATTACATTCTATGGGAGTGGAAGGCAAAATGAAATTACAAAGGGATGTTGGAAAGAAGACAAGCTCTCAGGAAACAGCCACAGAGAGGTCAAGTAACATAATATGTCCAGGGCTGGGGATTTAGCTCAGTGGTTCCGGCGCTTGCCTTGCAAGAGCAAGGTCCGGAGTTCGATCCCTGGTACCAAAAACAAAAACAAAAACAAAAACATAATACGTCCAAGGTCACAGGAGATAAATAATAGTGCTGTTTCAAACTCCTGGCATTCAATGCAGATTCTATACTACTCTACTTTGTAATGGCTATATGTTTACAAAGACTAATATACCTGCCTTGCAACTGCAAGGTCCCGAGTTCGATCCCTGGTACCAAAACAAAACAATAAAAAGACTAACAAATACAAAATTTTGAATAACTTTCATCATCAAACTAAGGAAAACAATAAAATGGTTACTATGCACATGTCATATTCAGTTGAAAATTCACATATATATATATATATAAGTACCTCCCATGTATAAAATTATAGTCAGATGGCCCACTATTATATTCACTAAAATGACCTAGAATTGGAATGTTAGAATGGTTAAAGGAATATCCTATTAATGCTAACTATAAAATGAAAATAGTGTTTTCATACTAGTACATACCTTTCCGATCTTTAGATTTTAGTGCTGTCACATGAGAAAGCTAGAAAACACAGAGAAAATGCAATCAGAAATAAAGCCAGAGTCTATGAAGAGTTGGTTAATAAAATGGTAACCTAGGGCTGGGGATTTAGCTCAATGGTGCTGCCACCTCCCTTGTAAGCACAAGGTCCTGAGTTTGATCCCTGGATGGTACCAAAAAATAAAAAATAAAATAAAATGGTAACCTGAAAACCTAAATTAGCAAAGATTATAAAATGTAGAATTGGGCGGGGGATTTAGCTCAGTGGTTTCGCCGCCTGCTGCGCAAGCGGCAAGGGCCCGAGTTCGATCCCCGGTACCCCCCCCAAAATATATTTTAAAAAAAAAAAAATTAAATAAAATGTAGAATTATCAGTTTAATAGTAAGTACACTAACTACAGTACATATTTTACATGTGACATAAGATCATGCTCAAATACCCAAGGATGGAAAGAATATAAAAATTTGCAAGTTAAGAAATTGTTTATATTAATCAACCATCTATTCAGGTATCTAATAGGGATGGAAAAAGGAAGCATGTACAATTAGATCGTATAACAAAATATATAAACACCCTAGGAATTACAATATGTGTAAAACCAACTATCACATGAACAGCACTATAAAATCGTAACTGAACTGGGCTGGGGATTTAGCTCAGTGGTTTCGCCGCCTGCTGTGCAAGCGCAAGGACCTGAGTTCATTCCCGGTACCAAAAGAAAAAAAAATGGTAACTGAACTGTATTGTAAAGTACAGTAGAGAGAGTTAAAGAAGAGACATCACAGGCTAGACGCAGCCTGAGACCATAAACGGCCTATAAAGACTTATGGCCTAGTTTTTTTTGTGGATGCAAAAGTAGATGGATTAGCATAAACCCATTTCTCACAAATTACAACAGAAAACTAAAGCTTCCTCTATACATGCTGAATGTAGTCATCCCTGTGCACAAAGAAAAACATTAGCATATTACAGTTGTAGCACTAAGGCTAATGGTTAATTTACATTTTATACCACTGTCAATACCTTTAATAACTGTAGTTGGTCGAATGTTAGTTCCTTTACTGGAATTTCAAATAATTCAACTGGATCAGCATCAAATTTCTAAAAAGGAAGGGAAGAAATGGGCCCCATTTCATTACTGCTAAATATTTGCACTATACAGCCTCCAATCTGAATTTACTGAGGAGCGTAACTACGAGAAAGCCATCATGACCTCATGTAGAAAAGCCCTTCTTAACCTGGCACTACCTCCCACCTCCAGCTCTTACAATCTGGCTTTGTTTTCTGGCAACGCTGACAATCAAATCCAGGGCCTCACGCATGCTGGGCAAGCACTCTACGACCCTCAGCCTCTGGCTTTTGGTCTTAAAAGCAGGTCAGGAGTGCATGGAAGAAAAGGCTAGCCAGGAAGAAGTAGTGGCAACTGAAAACACAATTGAGGACAGAGTGAGATATCAGGTATCACTGCCCCTGCTTCCTATTATGTCATATACATTTGATTTGACATATGTCCATGCCACATGTCTAGGAAACCAATGTGCAAGTATTACACAGGATTAACTTCTTTAGATTTTTTTTTTTTTTTAAAAAGACAGGGTCTTGCTATGTAGTTCAGGCTGGCCTTGAACTCACTATATAGCCCAGGCTGGCCTCAAAATCATGGCAATCCTCCTGCCTCATCCTCCCAAGTGCTGGAATTACAGGCGTGTGCCACCATGACCAGCCATACACAGGATTAACTTCTGTCAGTAAGTTTCTAAATGTTTCTAAACCTTTTAAATTTAAGTCTGGTTAAAATAGCAGCCACACAAACTGCCAGGGAAAAGAATGCCCAATTAGCTATAAGCATTACTATTTAACAAGAAGCCTGATCAATATTTCTCTTTATAACCAAATCTCTTTTATTAGGTTGTAATGCCATATCAAATATCACTGGTAGATGGCCGCTATCTTAAGGAAATGAGTTAAGATACCACCAATAATCATCAATCCAACAAGTGTGCTGAAAGCCACTGCATATAGATATATGTTATGTATAGCATTTGCTCACATACAAACCTGTTTATGCATAAAGTTTTTCTAGAAGGATACATAAGAAACTAGTAAGATCAAGGAAAGGAAGATTTATTTTGCATTTCATAACTTTTTGAACTACTTGCATTTTAAAAATAATGGACATGAATTGAACTTACGAGAAAAAAATTCCTACTACAGGCAAGGTACACACCTGTAATCCCAGCACTCAGGAGACTGAGGCAGGAGATTCGCCAGGAGTTGGAAGCCAGCCTAGACTACACAGTGAGTTCAGGCCAAGCTGGACTACATAATGAGACACCCTGTCTCAAAAAACAAAAACAAAACACACAAAAAAATCCTACTACATCCTAAAATATATTCACAATTCACCATGTCCCAATCAACTTCAGAACAAGACAAGAGACTGGTAAAAACAGGGTCTCAAATTTATTTTGAGACAGCATCTCACTGTATAGGTCAGACTGGCCTCAAACTCACTGCAATCTCTTGCCTTATCTTCTCAAGTGCTGAGATTACACGCAAGTGCCAGCACGTTCGGCCTAAACTCAAGATTTATGAAATAACATTCAGCCACAACAAAAACGACCTACTCCATTTTAATTATTCTACTTTTGTCACATCTAAATAGATCCATTTTTTTCCCTTCCTTCCGAAACCATTTTACAAAAACAGAAGGGTCCTCTCATACATGAGAGGATCCCAATCCCCTAAGACTGTCTAGAATCTACCGGTATGGAGCCAAGTGCCCACTTTACACAACACACAGAGCCTGGTACAGTGCTGTGCCTGTTAGCAAATTGGCCTTAACTTGAATCAACTCACCTGAAAATACCCAATACAGTTTTAAAGAAAATCAAATGAACCTGGACTGTCAGCCTGACTAGATTTCAAGATTCCTGGGGGGATGGCTGGTCCAGGGCATTATACTCAGTGGATTGATCCACCAAGGTTCTCAGCATTTGTGCTGGTGGATGGAGGTGGGGCCCACTGGAGGGGGGACAGCCTTTGGAGGCCATTATCTCCTGCCCACCCTGCGAGCTCTCCTCCTGTGCTCTGCTGTGGCCGCCAAGAGATGAGCAACCAGTTATCTTCTCTTTTTTTTTAGCACCGGAGATCGAACTCGGGACCTTGTGCTTGCGAGGCAGGCGCTGGAACCACTGAGCTAAATCTCCGACCCCCAGTTATCTTCTGATGAGCCCCTTGGCCACCATGCTTGGCAGACTGTTCCACAGAGGCAGCCAGCCATGTATTGAAAGCTCTGAAACTGTGAGCCAAAACTAAACTTCTTCCCTTTAAATTGTGAATGTCAGGTTTTTTTGTCTGAACAGTGGGAAGGCTGACTGATACAAACCTACTTTAAATGCCTGAGAAACTACTCGGTTCATTTGTATACTGAAGTTCAGAGACTTAAATGGCAATTATATTTGCAAGACAATGACAAGTTTTTTTAAAAAATCAAACACTTTCTCAAATTCCATTCTAACTCTATGCTTCTCTCCATCCTCCCTGGCTCGACTGCACCTGGGGCTCACATTGCTTCTCCTCCTGCCTCCCGTCCGTGAGCTCTGAAATTTCTATTATACCAGTCACCAAAACACTGGGCTTGAAGTATAGTTCTGAACAGTTCCCTTCTTGGATAAAGTGTTGTATCTCTAAAGCCTAATCCTCTTTCTTTTTTTTTGAAGAAAGGGTCTCGCTATACAGTTCAGGCTGGGCTTTAACTCACTATGTAACCCAGGCTGGCCTCAAACTCACGGCAATCCTCCTGCTTCAGCCACCTGGCTTCTAATCCTCTTTCACAGAGCTCTCCGTCTGATTCCTAACCACTTCTCTGATTTTTCACTGTGGCTCTTCCTGCTCTCGCTAAATCATACTAGCTTATTAATTTGAGAAATAACATGAAGCAGAAACAGACAGGAGCTCGCAAACACTGATAGTCTTCCCCTCCTGCCTCAAAAAAGTTGACAGTGGCAGACTGGCACAAAAACCACCTGGACTGTCCCTTTGTAACATAAGGCAATGCAGAGGCCCTTCCAGGACATCTAGATTTCCAACTTACTCTCTCAATACTGCATGAGCCTGAGAAAGGAAAGGATTGACAATAATTCACCAAAAAAATCAACTGACTATTAAATAAGTAACTAAAAATATGAAAAGCTTTCTAGTTTTTAACTTTTCACTTAACAATAAGTTTAAAATGAAGGAACATCAACACACCTTTTTCATGGTCAAACAGCAGGTAAGATCATGATACACCACAGGCACAAAGTCCTTTGAAAGATGGACATCAAATTCTACAAAAGCTGCACCCTGAGAGAAGTAAAGGAAACAAGTATTTGAAAAATACTATCTAGTGCACAATAGCTCTAAAAGTACAAGGATGTAAATTTATTGTTCACTATAAACTGTCCCTAATAGATACACTGCTCCCAGGTAAAGCTGAATCCTGCTGATTAACTCACCTGACTCCTTACAAAAATCTCAAGTATTCTCTACTTCCTCAGGTTAACCCAAATTCCAGAAGACCCTTACCTGCCTTGCCCCTGCCTATCCTGCTTCACCCACTTCAGTCTGCTTTAATCTTACTTGGTTTCAACCCCAGGCCTCCATCCTTGCCCTGATTAGGTTCCCCTCCTCCTCCTCCCATTCCCTCACCTGCTGAGACCAAGACAGGCTCATTCTGTTTTCCATGCCATTTAAACCCAGGCCTGGTCACAGAACACTCCCTGGGCAGAACTGTCTTCCCTTGGTGTCCAGCCAACTGTGGAGACATCTGCCTTGGCCACTCACCCACTCTCTGCTATGGCCTTGAGCCCCAGCTGGAGATGTCCACTGTCAACCCTGTAGCTGCTTTTATTACTTCTGCTCTCCATGGGAAATCTCCCTCCCTCTATTCCCTCTTCCACCCCTCCTACCCTCCCCCTATTCCCTCTTCCACCCCTCCTAGCCTGCCTGTTGCCATTAAAACCTTGATCAGAAAATGTAGGGACTGATTACCTCCCTGACCTGCTATTGTTCCCTCTCCCGAAATGTTTCTGGAAGCCTCCAAGAAGCAGCTTACTCCATTCTTACCTTATAGAACCAGAAAGACTCCCTGACAACAATAACCCTCCAAAATCATAGGGGCTTAGATTCTCTCACAGCCAAAAAAACTCAAGCATATACATCTTCCTAAGACAAAATGTTGCTTTTATATCAATCAGCCAGGCTTGGTAGGAGACACAACAAAAAGGCTAACTTACAGCAGGCAATTTAGCTCAGTGGCGCCGCACCTGCCTCGAAAGCGCAAGGTCCTGAGTTCAATCTCCGGTACCAAAAAGGTTAACTTAAAAAAGGCTTGAAAAATTTGACAGCACTAGACCAATATTTGGGGCTGGGCCTCATGGCTTCTTCCATTAACTAAACCTGTCTGTATGAATGAACAAGTTTCAGTGAATGAACATGTCTCATTGCTCACACAGTGTCTGCCCAGATGGCCTCTCTCTAATACAGTAGACACTATCACACCTTTTCTTGCTTTAATAACTCAAAGTTTGTTAGATCAAAAAAGATGCTTATGGCCGGGGATTTAGCTCAGTGGTTTCACCACCTGCTGCGCAAGCGCAAGGACCCAAGTTCGATCCCCAGTACCAAAAAAAAAAAAAAGATGCTTATGATTCTATTGTTTTCATCCCAATTCTCACCATGGATCTACATACAAATGCCAAGAGATAATGTGTTTTCACATAGACACATGTTCAGAACAAGCATAAATACTCCTCCTTGTAGATTTAGAGGAGATTGCCCTGGGCCACATTTATCTACCTCAGGAGTTCAAAGTTGTTTAAAGAAAGGTTACTTACATGAGTAGCAGCGTTTCTTAAAGAAGCAATAGTATTTTCTTGAACTTTAGCCAGCCTGAAATAGAGAAGAAACATAGTTATCACGGACTACAGAAAAGAAATGTAATAAAATAAGTTCACATATTTTTAACAATGAAAATATATATTCTTTATTCTGAGGCTTTTTTCTATCCCCAAATATCACTGTGACCATATTTGGCTGCTATATGCATTTACTCCACAAATGCAAGTTCTAACCAATTTTAGGTATTGATAAGCTGAATATAAACATATACTGTACCACAACACATACCTCCCTGTACTATGGAATTTTCTTACAGACACATGAGGTGACCGACTAAGAAAACAATTTTTTTCACTGCCATGAAGAAACAGAGACAGAAAACTTGCTCCTTGTAATGAGTCCTCCAGATAACTTAATACTGGCAGACTGCAGAGGAATAAGAAAGACTGACACACAAAAAGGGTGTACGTATAAAGATTGTATTAAGAATAAAAATTATATTAAGAGCAAGAACACAAGGAAGAAAACTTATTGCTCATCTAGGATGCTTCTTCCTTAAATGGTACTTGACTTGTTTTAGACTTACAAGATTATGATAGGTCCCAAAGCTATCACAGCAGCATTTTAAATCAAAAGGGTGGGGTTAAAATTTACAATAGAAAGCCTATGGCAATAAGCTATGTTACTGGTAGTTGAATACAATTCGAAACTCCAAGGGAAAAGACAACTAGTAGTAGGCTGGAATTTGTGTCTGCTGAGAAGAGAAAGGGCCATCTTTCTGATGAGAAACTAACATTTCCTGTAGTTCAGTTATGCTTTTTTAGAATCATGGATGCTTGGAGCAGACAGGAATACCAGGATAACCAATCCAAATCCTTCCACTCATAAATGACGAAATTGAGACCAAGACAGGGAAACATGTCAAGAGCAAGGAACATGACAATGACACACAGATGCCACCAAGGTTCTGCACCAAATTTTCCCTCTTGGCTTTCGACCATAGTATCTTTCTCATCAATTCAATACAATATTAAAAAGATGGGCCAGAATCTAAGGCTCGTGCTTGTCTCTACTTTGAAATGGTGATCCCCGTTACCAAACTGTATTTACTTTCCAGGATAATAATAAAGTATCATCTTTAGTGGATCAAACCACTAATGGCATCAAGCACGAGCTACTGAATGCTAATTCTACCCAAATAGGAAACCTACTGGGCAGTTGTTGTCGAGTTCCCTGCACCTCGATGTCCAACATCCAGTGGTATTCTTGGTTTCCAATACTTGGAAAATGAAGATTTCATGTCACAACTGTATCCGGTTAATGGCTTAATGATGATAAAGTCAACTTTCATAGAAAAAAAAAAAAGTGGGGGGAGACAAAGATAAACATTTAAAAGGCCACTGAGCTCAATGACATTTAAACAGTATATAAACCAGCTTTACCAATCCCTAACAGTGCTTGTTTCGGCAGCACATATACTAAAATTGGAACCAATCCCTAACAGAAAAAAAATCTTAAAAAGTGATTCAAGGTTTCTAGAAAACAGACATGTTTCTTACACTGTTAATGTATTAGTTAATAATCTGAAACAAATTATTAATCTTTACCATTCTCATATACTCAATTTAAAACAAAAATCCTAACAACGTTATTTGTAGGATTTTTTGTTTGTTTTGGTACTGGGGATGGAACTCAGGACCTTGAGCTTACAAGGCATGCAGTGGAACCACTGAGCTAAATGCCCGGCCCTAACTTAATGTTATTTGTAAGAGCCTGCCTGCTCCTCCACACTTACCTCGAACTTTGCCTATGGTTTTCCTGGAATTCCTGCTCATGATAGGAAGGGTAAGAACCCCGGCACTCCGCCCACTCTCTGCAATGGTGGATGATAAGAGGCATGCTGTGCCCACATGTCCTGGAAGGGCGTCACCTTGAACTACATGTTCACTGAGATCTTCCTAAAAAATGAGGTTCCAAAGACTGGATTATTTCACATTTTCAATTTGAAGGTCAAAGAACTTCCTTAAAAGTCAACTCAGAATCTATGGAGGACTGATGAGAAACACAAACTTAGATTCAGGTAATAGAGATGGTTTCCAGGTAATTAATATACTTTTAAAAAAATATGTATTTTACGTATTATTTTATATATGTATTATATATATATGTATTTTATATATTACTTTATATAACTGAGTTCCAATTCTGATCTTATATTATGCATTAGGTGAATTTAAAACACTTGCCTGAAAAATTCTAAGCACTTTACCCTGAAGGAATAAAATAATTTATAGTGAATTTTAACAAATTATATTCTCTTGAATGTGCCCACATCCATAGCATATATGGGCAATAACTCCCTAGAAAACTAAATTCTTGCTTTGAGATTACAAGTGGGTATTTTAGCAGCTCAGTCTATGAATAAAACAGTATTTCCAAAAATGCTAACCAAACAAAAGGAAGTTAGGATGTTCCAAAGATTTAAATGCTTAGTATGTAGCAAGGAAATGTTCAACAAAAACTTCATCCTAGCCAGGCATGGTGGCCCCAAGTTTGAGGCCAGCCTGAGCTACACAGTGAGTTCAAAGCCAGCCTGAACTACATAGCAAGACTTTGTTTAAAAAAACAAAACCCTTCACCCTGTGTTTTTGTTTTGCTGTTATTGAGACAGTATCTTACTATGAGAGTGCTAGAATTACAGGTGCACACTACACCTTTCTCATACTGTATTTTTATACATAGTAAAATTCCACAGATCTTATTGCTCAAGTGAGATCTTTAGATGTTTAAAAAATGTAATCTTACAGGAAATATTTTAATTTCATATAATGCAAGACAGCCAAAAAAACACTCAAAAACAATACCTAAGCCATCATTAAATTACACAATTCATGGATTGTAATAAACTTGGGTAGCAAGATTCACTCTGTAGGTTTAAATCCATTCCAAATTCTTGTTCTCATGAAACCATGGGCAGGTGCTACTACTGGCCGCATGTTCCCTATCCGCAAAAGTTTAAGCTCTAATTTAGAGGAAACGAGAGTGAAGGTGGGCAAAGGATCTAGAGACCAAGGAAACCAATACGCTGCACTAAGGAACTGAGAGAAGATGCCAAGCATTATTTGTGGGAAGTAACTGAAGAGCCAGTGAGCCAACAAGCTCCTGGTCTAAGGCCCTTATGAAAGTTGGCACTACAGATTCCATACTACCTGGCATAAATTTTATAACTAGTTTTATTACACATTTATAACACTAAGTTGTAAAGTAAGCCCATGTTATACAACAAATACTAATAAAATGCCTCCATAAACAGTTCCACCCTGAAAAGGGTTATATCATGCTGATTACATCAGCCTGTTTGGCCCTCTACTTATCTTTGGAGGCTCCTTTGTATACAATTCATTCATATTTAGATTAATAGTCACATGAAGACATCTAGTCTTGATCTGAGACATCAATTCTACTGAAGTTCTCTTAATTACATTTTTTTTTTTGGTACTGGGGATCAAACTCGGGACCTTGCACATGCGAGACAGGTGGTGGAACCACTGAGCTAAATCCCAGCCCCCTCTTAATTACATTCTTAAAAGTATTTGAGTCTGCTAAAATGTATAACAGGAACAAATAGCTAAAAAGTTTTTAAGAACCATGACTTTACATAATAAAAATAAAGTCATACGTAAAAAAAACTCTGCATTTCTTGTCAACTGAATCACTGAAGTAACTACTCACCTCAAAAAAATCAAAGATTAGTTCTAGGTTATCCGGCTCCATGGTCTGTATGCTGTACTCAGTCCAACGGTCAGGCTGTAGGCCATACCCACACTCTGGCTGTGAGTGCCTGCACTTGAACTCGTTGTCACTTATCAAGGCTATCTCCAGGGTATTAGACATTTTATGAAGAACAGTGGGAGATACCCTATCATCATCGTCTTCCTCGGGACCCTCTAGTGTAAGCTTTACTCTACATGATATGAAAAAAAACTGATTAAATGCAAAAGTGCCACAAAAGAAAAACTTATAGAAATGTCACTTAAACGCAAATTTTAAAAGGTCCCTTGAATATGCTCAAATAACAAAATAATATATTCCACAAAGATACACATACTAAAGCTTAAGGCATTATGTTTTATCTGCATCTGTATCTGCAAGATATTCATGAGATAAATGATGGTTATGTGTACTAAGGTTGTCTTAATTCATTTTTTTTTTTAGTGAATCTAAACTATTTTCTATTATCCCAATAACTAAGATAAATTCTTAGCCTTTAAATATCAGTAAGAACTCCTTCTAAGAGGTCTCCAAATGTATCTTAGACAAGCACAAAATTGGGCCATATGGTTAGAAGTGGAGGTTTATACTAAAGATTTTCCCTATTCTTTTTTTTGGTACCAGGGATCGAACTCAAGTTCTTGCGCTTGCACAACAGGCAACGAAACCACTGAGCTAAATCCCCAGCCCTTCCCTATTCTTCTACCTTACCACAGTAAAAGCTAAATACCTTGTAAAAAGTACATTACTAAAAAAAAAATTAACTATGTAGCATAACATTATACGTATGAATTTTTTCAATGTGTATATATGCACACACACTATAGACACACTTTTCTAATGAAATAAACCAAGAGTCTAACTCTTATCTGCCTCACAGCAATGACACCAGTGACCTAAGTCACAGTGGCATAAAGGCTAGTCTACCCCAATGAAAAGCAATTACTTCCACAGAACACTTGTCAACTTAATTCTGGAATATTTCTTGCACCAATTTAATAGTATATAAGCATTTTTAGTATTACTAATGTAGTGTACAAAATTATGAAAATTTTTCATTCTAGTTTTAAATGGGATCTGACATCAAATATAAATAATGGAATTGTATTACAGTGGCCTGCTCTTTGTATAAACCTGTCCCCCACAACTGCTGACTTTCCTTACAGCCATGATTCTGAGGTCTCCCTGAGGGGTCACCTGTACAGATTACTTCACTAATAATATTGATCTGTATTCACTTACAAGTAGCTCAAAATCATCAGCTCTTAGAACCAGACTCTGAGGAAATGCTCTGGATAACTGATACTATTAGTGAGCCTGAGGAAAAGGTATTCTCTTCCAGAATACAGTATATAAAGACTGAAAATGGACAGAAATAAGCAAAAAGAAAGTCCTTAAAAAAAGTTGGAAGGGAAAGATCAATGAACGAACTTAAGTTCATTTTATTCTTTTGTAGTTCAGGGATCGAACCCAGGACCTCACGCTTGTGAGGCAGGCATGGTACCACTGAGGTAAATCCCTGGCCCTTAAGTTCATTTTATAAACTGTTAAAGATTTTCTTCAAATAACTATATAAATGTTATAGTCTCTCATAAAGAGACATCACCATTGCTTCCACTTGGTAGAGTCAATGACAAAGAGAAATGTGCGTGTTTAAAACATGATAGTAACAAGAAGGAGGTTCACTGCTTTACTTAAAATGCATGGGCATGTGCCACGTTGTTAAAGTACTGAACTCTTAGCAGATAAATTTATTTCCTACTCTAAGACAGTAGAAAGCTATTACATAATTCACTTCTTTAAATATAACATTTAAAGCTGGCTGTGGTGATGGACACCTATAATCCCAGCACTTAGGAGGCTGAGGAAGCAGAGCCACCCCCATCCTGAGTTCAAGGCTAGCCTGAGCTACCTAAATAGTGGAACCTTGTGTCAAAAAAAAAAAAATGTAAATAAAATATTAATTTTCTGTTTGGATTTTTGTTTTGTTTCTGAGACAGAGTCTCACTATTAGTCCAGACTGGTCTTGAAATTGATAAGTAGCCCGGGTTGACCTCAAACTCACAGCTCTTTTGACTCATCTTCCACAGTATTGAGATTACAGGTATGTATCACCATGTCTGACTTAATATTTAACTATGTATTGCTAACTTCCTTAAAGAATTTGTAGCTGGGCATGGTGGTGCATACCTGTAATCCCAAGGCTAGTTTGGGCTACATAAGAGTTCAAGGCCAGCCTGAACTACAAAGCAAGACCCTATCTCAAAAAAAAAAAAAAAAAAAAAAAGAATTTGTGGGACACACAGTGAGTTCAAGGCCAGCCTGAACTACACAGAGACCCTGTCTCAAAAGAATTTGTGAGAGAGGGCCAGGGATTTAGCTCAGTGGCACCGGGCCTGCCTTGCAAGTGCAAGGTCCTGAGTTTGATCCCTGGTACTGAAAACAAGACAAAAACAAACAAACAAACAAAAAAGAATTTGTGAGAGGAAAGGGCTCTTGCAGATCAACCATCTAGTCCAATTACCTTGGCATTTCAGAGAAGCAAAGACAAAAGGACAAAGTACACACACCCAAATCCTTTACTATCAAAACACCAACACAAAGGATTAGCAAGTGCCACCCACCTGTTTCCTATCTATGACTGGCATGTGTGATATTCAGGCAGTTAAACTAAATCAAGGATTTCCACACTGCAAACCACTATGAATTTTATTAGGAAGATAAAAACTTTATTATCAGTGTGTCTTCAATTATTGAAAATGAATCTTTCAACCGGGGCCTGACATTTTGTCAGAAAAGCCTGTGTTACATATCAAGACTCAGAATTCTCAGTACCGCAGTCACAAAATTTCAAATGACAGGATGAGGGCCTTAAAGAAACCAGGCTACTTGGGAGGCACATACAATGATGTTCAGAAAAATTAAGTTACTACTGAACCATTTACACAAAGCTTTACGTCTACTCCTACAACTGATACAGGCTTTCAAACAAACAAATCTGGAACTACTATAATTACTACTTTTCTTCATGAAATGTTTTTCATTTTAAAGCCACAGTAAACTTTAAAACTCTGAAGGATATTTACAACAATCATTTTTCTTTGCTTATGCCATTCTCCCCTCATTTAGCACAAAACTGTTTCTCTTCTATCAATTTTAAAAGTTTGTTACACTAGGAAAGTTCAACAAAAATGGATAAGCTTAGGGACCACTCATCTTACAGAAACAAATTTTTCTGGTTCCAAATATAACTACAGAAATTTGAGAGAAAAAGCTAGCTCACCATTACAAAACTCTGCAGTTTTTAGAAAATGTGATATTATCTATTAGAAGTTTATTATGTTTACAAACTTAAAGTCTAAAACTAAAAAGACCAGAAATCTACCTTAGTAAAAATAAATGGCTTTAATAACAAAACCACATGATCATACCTAAATCTAGATTTTTTGAATTTTTTCTTGGTTATTGAGACTGGAGGTTTTTCAGAATAATGCAAACGTAATCTTATTTCCGTCTGGCATGTCAGCCATCCACAATCCAGAGTTTCAACACCATCTGTCAGAGCAAATATGAAAAATAGAAATGATTAAGCATGTCCTTTGAAACAATTTAGTATGTATAATACACGCTGACTAGTGAAACCTTGTCTAATAAAAATATATATAGGTAATTCTAGTTCACATTCATATTTTATTTCACTGACCTTTATATAACATTGATTTTTTTTTTTAACCCCTAAAGAAAATACACAGGTAGTCTTAAATTCATCTGAGAAAAAATAAATAATATGAAAGGGAAGAAAAGTTAAATGATTAACAACTGGCCATGTGTTCACTACTTAATTAAAATATTCTTTTTGAGTCTATTGCTGAAGTAATGCAAATCTATTTCAGAGCACATGTTCCAAGAAGGTTCCTAACCTAGCAAATGCTGCATTAGGGATCACTATTCCACTTCTAAAGCTTCACATGAGATATTCAACTGAAACTAGCTATACCATTGCGCTAAAGATACGAGAAACGGTTAAAAAAAAACCCCAAGGAATAGTTAAGAACAAAACTGTGAGTCAATTATGTATTCTCATAAACACATTACACAACTGTAGTTGCTTCTTCTTTTTATTTTTTTGGTACCAAGGATCAAACTCAGGACCTCAGGCTTGCCAGGTAGGCACTGTGCCACTGAGCTACATCCCCAGCCCCCTTACATGATAATAAATAATAATGATAGAAAAATAATATTGTGTTAACACTGTTTAACTTGAACTTACCTACGAACATAGGTAATGAAGTTTTTATGAAGACTAGAAAAGCTGTCAACTCATTTCGATCTAAGCCTTTTCATCAAAGGGCTTTAAAAAAAAATCAAGAAATCTTTCTCCTCAGGTATAACTTAAGGGCATTTAATAATTGTCAAATTTTAACCACTGTGAAAATCAGTATGAAGATACCTCAAGGAACTAGGACTGGAAGTCCCATTTGACCCAGCTATTCCCCTGCTGGGTATCTTCCCCAAAGAATAAAAAAATTCATACCACAGTGATATATGTGCACCCATGTTCACAGCAGCACAATTTGTAATAGCTAAAACTTGGAAATAGCTCAAATGCCCATCAACTAGAGACTGGATAAAGAAAATGTGGTTTTGGGCATGCCCTACCGAGGTCCTGAGTCCCACGGAACACTCCGAATCAGCCCATGCCCCGACAACAGTCCACTGGACCCCTCCCCAGCTCCTCTGTACAGCCACCTGGTTCCACACTACAAAGACGCAGAGGACACCAGACCACCAGACCACGGTACTGAGTCCCGCTGCTCCCGACCCAGAGGTAGGGGCTTCTGAGCCACCGTCCCACTGCTCCTGATCCAGAGGAAGGGGCT